GCATCCCCAAGGAAATGACGTCGACGTGAGGCCCGCAGAACTGGGGGAGGTTGTCCAGGGTGACACCCCCGCTCGCCTCCACAGTCACCCCAGGAAACCGGGCCTTCAGCGCGGCAGCTGTGGAGTGCAGCTCCTGCGGGACACAGGCCATGGCAGGTGAGAGCGCCCCCAGCCGCACCCCGGAATCAGCCCGGCCTCACCTCAGGCTTGAAGTTGTCCAGCATGACCAGGTCAGCTCCAGCGCTGGCCGCCTGCTCCGCCTCCCGCAGGCTGCCGCACTCCACCTCCACCTTCAGCTCAAAGCCAGCTGCCCGCCTGGCGCCCTGCACAGCCTGTGGACAGCATGGGGGGACATGGGGGCTGGGGCACGGGCCCTGGGCTAAGGAGCTGGGAGCAGTACTGATTGGACTTGATGATTTTCTTTTTTTTGTGTGGTACTGGGGATTGAACTCAGGACCCTATGCTTGCCATGTAAGCACTTATTCTACTGAGCTATCTCCCCAACCTTGATTGGACTTGAGATGAATCAGAAATTATCACTTCATGGATTGAAAAACAAACAGCCCTGAGTTCAGTCTGATCCTGAATACTAAAACTAGAGCAGGCACGGTGGTCACGCCTCTAATGGCAGCACTAGGGAGGCTGAGGCAGGACGATCCTGTGCCGCAAGCAGGGGTGATGGTGCCTGCTCATGACCCCAGCCCTCCAGAAGCTCAGACAGAAGGGACTCACGTTCGAGGCCAGTCTGGGGAAACAGGCCCAGTGAACTCAAGCAGCCACCACAAGGACCCACCCACTACCTTGGGCTGCTCAGATGCTTCTGCCTCAGCGTCCTGACATGCTGGGAGCACAGGCCTGTGACCACCGCTCCTGCTTCCTGTTCTTGCTCTTGAACATCAGACCAAGCAGCTGAGAAGAAAAGAAAGGCAGGGGGTCTGCCTCCCCAGCCTACGCTGGAAGGGTGGAGTAGAGGAGCCCTGTCCCTGGCCTCTCTGTCATGGCGTGTCACCAGGCAGTGGTTGCTGGTGGGTGGAGGGGCTGTGGCAAGTGGGGGTCAGGCCAGGGCGAGGCGCACACCTTGTCCACACAGCCGGCGGCCACAATGTGGTTGTCCTTCACCATCACCAGCCCGCCCAGGTCGTAGCGGTGGCAGGCGGCTCCACCCACCAGCAGACCGTACTTCTCCACCAGCCGGAAGCCCGGGGTGGTCTTCCTCGTGCCGGCCACACGACCAGCCCAGCCAGCGGCCTTGGCAAGCTCCACCGCTGCACCTGCAGCACTCGCAATGCCACTGCAGCGGGCCAGCGTGTTCAGGGCCACCCGCTCCCCCAGCAGCAGGCGGTGAGCAGGGCCCCGCACCTCAGCCACCCTGACCACAGGTTTCAGCCTCGAACCCTCAGGGAGGAACCAGGACACCTGGCAGTCGAGCTGAGCAAAGACGGCGTCGAAGAAAGGGCGTCCAGCCAGGATGCCAGGGGATTTGGCCCACAGCGCAGCCCGGGAGGGGCCCGCTCCGGTGGCCAGGGCTGCGAAGTTGAGGCCGGGACAGTCCTCTCGGAGCCAGCTGTCAGCCAGGGCCACCAGCGTGGTGGGGGGCAGCAGGAGCGGCAGGCCTGGGGGGGGAGACAGACAGCTGCTGTGTTTGGGGGCTTCCATGTGTCAAGGGTGACAAGGAAAACAGTCAGCAGCCTGCCAGAGTAGGCACTAGCCAATCAGAAGAAGACCTGGATGATCCCGGGACTGGCCAGGGCAGGAGGGGTCCCTGTGCACCAGTCAGGCAAGATTGCCAAGCAGGACAGAAACAGAACACCTGGCTCAATTTAAAATTCTGACAACGGGCCAGCCGAATAGCTCAGTGGATTAAAGCGCCTGCAAGCAGGCATAGAGGCCAGGAGTTCAATCCCTGGGCCTGCCATGCCAAGCCGCCCCCGGGGCGTGGCAATGGGGACTGGTCGTGGTGGCACACGTGTGTAATCCCAGCTCTTGGGAGGCTGTAAACAGGCAGATCAGTACAAATATGATCTAGTAATGAGACTCCAAACACCCTGTAGACCCTTCCCCTAAAATACAAAAAAAAAAAAAAAAA